CTAGTCCCAGGATTGTTTCAGCCCGAACTCTTTTGATTATAATATGAGAAGAATAAGAATAATAATAGCTTACATTCACTGAGCATTTTACAATTTGCAAAGAACTGTCCATAAACCGCCTCATTTGACCCTCACAACAACTTGGTAAGTTGGTTGAGGTACATGCTGCTACTATCCCCATTTTATAACTAAAGAAACTGAGGGTCAGAGAAGTTAAGGGACTTACCTAGGATTACACAGGTATCTGGGTCAGGACTCAAACCCAGGACTTCCTGATTTAAAGTCCAGCTCTGCAACTTTTATGCCACACTGCTTCTTGGAGGAGGAGGAAAAGGAGGGGATCACAGAAAGGGCAATTTGTTGGAGGAGATGGGATGGAATGGGATTGCTTGAACAAAGAGAGAGGTTCAAAACACAGAGGATTTAAAAACAAAACTTAAATTTTTTTTAAAGCAAAAAAGAGGGAATATAACCTTTCCAAATATTGGCTCATGTAATTAATAAAGGGGGAAAAAACTATTGTGAAACATTTTATAGGGTGAGGTATTACTTCCAATTTAATTTCAATTTTAAAATATTTTTGAGTTAGGAATCACACCTTCCTAAGTAGACTTCAAATAAATTGATTTGAGAATATGACTAAAAGTTAATCATGTGTTTTTTGGTAACACATTGCGTATTTTTACAATAGTGGAAGGTTTTGCCCCTGTTATAAGTTTTAGTAGCCCTGGTTTTTGAATCCTGATGTAAAAGATCATAATAGACAGTATAGTTTATTTTAATTTTAATTTTTACTTTTTGCAGATAAACTCATTTAACCAAGCTGATTTGAAAAAGAAATCAGAGAAGTCATACAGATGAAAATATACAACAGACTATACATACAGACTGTACATAAAATGAATGAGCTCTCCCATTGGGAGCAAGATATCTCAGCTCAACTGAGAGTCCCAGATCTCACTCAAGGGGAAATTCTTCAAAGTATCGAAAGAATTGAGTTGAGAATAGGGACATGATTAAGGTACTCACTCCTTTACATGTTAGCTTCTTTTTAGAGTCTTTCTTTCCCTTTAGGGACCTGAAGAGAGTCTGCAACTGCATGTCTTCTTTCTCAAAGCCTGAAGACAGAAGGGATTTAGGGATTGGGAGGGTACTGTTGCCCTCCTCAGTAACAGAGAAGGTAGGAATTGGGGAGGATTTAGGGGGAAAAATAATGAGTTATGTTTGAGACATATTGAGTTTATGATGTTTAACATGTTCTCTCTTATCTTTCAAGCTCTTGCTAATTCCACCTCTCATGCAGGCATGGATCATTAACTGATCAATCTCCATCAGTGAGGAAAATCTTCTGCAAATGGGCTTTGAGCTTTAGGTTACATTTTTCCTCAAGGCTGAAACTGTTTGCAGTTCCTTGCAAAGATCAGACATCTGTTTCCTTAAGGGGTAGTCTCTAGCAAAAGAGTTCACAAACAAGGCGGTGATAAACAGATCAAGAAATAAGAGAACTTTGCTTTCTGCCTTCTCAACACCTTTGTGAAGTAGGTTAAGACCAGGCTTTGGGTTGTGGTACTTCTGTAGGATTGTGTGGAATCATAGTTGTAGACCTGGGAAGGACCTCAAAGGCTCTCCAGTCCAACCCCTTAATTTTGTAGATCAGGAAACTGAAGCTCAGAGAAGTAAAGTGAGTTGCCCAATATCACACAAGTAGTCAGTAGCAGAATTGAGATTTGAATCCAGGGCTTCGAACCCCAGAGTGAGTGCTCTTTCCTACTGTACCATGTTGTCCTCAACCTCCCATTTCTAAATTCTTACCCTTTTGGGGGGCTCTCCTCTGTCAGGGTCCTAATGCCTTTATTGTTCTCTCCTCTTTCTCTCTCTCTCTTTCTCTCTCTCTCTCTCAAAATTTGATCTTGGAAAAAAAAGTCTGATAGTTATCATGTATTTCTTGGTCTAAAATTATGGTCCAAGCAGGGAGGAATAAACCTCAGTAAGCTTTCTATCCAAAGGTGCCTCTCTCTCAGCCATTTAGAACAAGCTTTGTAAATTCCTTGAATATAGGGACCTTTCTTTTTTGTGAGGCAATTGGGGTTAAGTGACTTGCCCAGAGTCACACAGCTGTGTCTGAGGCTAGATTTGAACGCAGGTCCTCCTGACTCCAGGGCTGGTGATCTGTCCACTGTACCACCTAGCTGCCCCCCAAATAGGGGCTTTTCCTTTTTTTGTTATTCTTATCACTTAGCACAGTACATGCTATATAGTTGGCACATTATAAATCATTGGTGAATAAATTTTAAATCAATGTTACCTCACCCTGGATTATTTACCACTTACTTTAACCTTCTAACAAAAAGGATTTCAGATATCAAGGAGAGATGAGGGGAGAGAATACTTTAGGAATAGCAAAAGATTTTTCTTGGAGTCCTTAAAATCCCACCATATAAGTAGCTAAGTAACTTGCCGGTTGCTGAACTCACTACTTCCCAGGTACTGTGTGCCTATAGTACTGACTTCACAGGGTTATGAATTTTCTGCAATAAATAGATATTTCTATTTAAATGCTTTGCAAGCTTTAAAGGCAATATAAATGGCAGTTAATATTACTATGCCAATATTAAGTTCTTCCAGTTTTCTATCAGTTATGGGAAAGAGAAAAATTTATTTTGCTTCCACTTCATTTAACTTCTGCTATTGGATTGTATTAAGAAGTCAAACTATGTGTTATGTATAATCTAGTTCCGGATTCATTTTCCACACAGAGGGGAGGTACTGTCGTCAGTGCACTACAACCCACACTCAGCCATCTATTTATAAACTATCCACTTGGTGGATTATTCCCATAAAATCTTTAATCCCCAAATGGTTTGCTTCTTCTGGGGTGAAGTAGCCACTTCCCTTCGCTGTCAATATATGCGTTTGTCATAGAAAATAAAAACTAATTTTAGCAGACTAATCTAAGTGTAATTAGGAAGGATATCTAATTTCAGACCCATCCCTCCTCCTACCTGCTTAAACTGTAGTCCCCCTTCAAATTCTGAGCACATTCCAAAGCCAAATAAAAATGGTTTATAAATGATCCCCCTTTTAATTCTGTCTGCCACAGCTATCTTCCTTCAGGATGGATAATTGTTGAACCATCGTGGATATTCACATGTACATATCTGGGTCCTTCCAACTAAATTAGCCCTAAGCTCCAGAATATAACTTGAACAGTTTAGAAAACACTATCTTCCCAATTGGAACATTTAATATTGTTCAGTCTCTAGAGAATGTTTTCCTATGATCATACATTTGTTCAAATAATATGTTCTGATTTTTTTCTTGGAATATCCATTATTGCAGAAAAATCTGGTTTGAATAGTCATTAGCTCAAGCATTTCCCCAATAGTTTCTGAATCAATTAGTAGATTGAAAACTCTTTGCAAGAGGGCTAAAAAAAAAGTTGGGTGTGTTTGAGAGGATGAGGGAGCTACTCTAAGCACAACCAATAAAATGAGAAAGAATCAGAACTTTTTTTTTAAGCAGCTAAGGGCATGTTTACTAGTCCCTTCTGCCTAAGTGCATTAAAAAGAGTAATCTCAGAGCAAAATAGAGCATTGTTAACATATTCTTCATCACTTTATTAAGTCTAGACAATCAACAAAGAGCTTTGCTCATCTACGTTGGTGAATGGAGTTTCCACACTTGAAATTCCCTATGTTGAGAAAAATCACAGGTTCCACCAATTCAATCCATTCAATTAAAAAGAATTTTTTAAGTGCCTACTGTGTGCCAGACGCTGTACTAACAGCTAAAGATTGAAAGAAAGACAAAAAATAGTCACAGCCCTCAAAGACTAATAGTAATAGTAACAGTAACCTAATTGAGGAGATAACAGGTAAACAACTAATTTTCAAGGAAGCTATATACAGAATAAATTGGAAGTAATCTCAGAGGGAAGGCACTAGCATTTTTATAAGGGAGACAGGGAAAGGCTTCTCACAGAAGGTGGAATTTTAGCTGAGTGTTGAAGGAAACCAAGAGGTAAAGACTGAATAGGGACAGAATTCTAGGCTTAGGGCACAGCCAAAGACAATGCATGTTGCAGAGAAAGTACAAATTTTCATGGATACAGGGAGTTTCCTCATCTGAGAATTCCCAATACCAATGAAATCGCAGGTCTAGTCCCTTCCTTTGCATTACTGTAATTATTTTGTATATTGCTTCATATAAGTCTTTCCAAGTTTCTCTCAATTCCTTGTTTCTCATTGCCCAGTAATATTCCATTATATTCATACGTCACAGTTTATTCAGCCAATTCCCAATCAATGGGCACCTGTCTTATTTACATCTTTGGACTACTACAAGAAATGCCGATGTGGATTTTTTTGTTTTACACAGGACCTTCCTTTCTGTCCTTGACCTTCTTGGGTACGCGCACAGGTATAAAGCATTTTCCATAGAGTGTATGACAGCTTTAGTTCATGGTAGTACAGTCCCTAATAGTATGATAGTGACATAATACAGTAAGAATAACTGGAATGCACATGATCAGAAATGGCATAACTGAATTCAGTTCGATTTGGGAAGTTTAAGCATTGCCCTCAGAATCAAAAATTTCAGAGAAGAAAGAGACCACAGAAATTAATAATTAATGTGTGTTCATTTGACTTGAATCTCAGAATTCCCTAGAACACTGGGAGGTGTAACTTGTCCCAAGGTCAAAAAGGAGTGTCAGAAGTGAGGCTTGGATCCAGGTCTTTCTCGATTCGCCAGCTTCCCGCCTCGCTTTCAGAGGTCCCTGACGTCATCACGCACAGCCCCGCGACGCACGCACGCTCTCTTTAAAGGGAGAATTCCGCGGGCGCCGCAGGGTGCAGTCTAAGGAAGGGTGGGGAGCGCGGCGCAGCGGTAGGTCACGCTGTCGTGGCGTCGCCGGGAGCCCGAGGTAGGCGGGCGAGCCGAAGAGCCGGAGAGAAGGGGCGAGGAGGACTCGGGAAGGCGCGTGAGCTGGCCCGGGCGCTGTCGGGCCGGAGCGCGGAGTCCCCTGGGACAGGACCGGCAACATGGCGACCCCGGCTTGTCTCCGGCCAGGGGTCTGCACGGTCTCTCTCTCGCCCTCCGCTTCTGCGCTGCTTCCAGCCTCTTCTCCCAGACCACAGCCGGCTCCCCTTTCCCTCCCTGCTCGTCCCTGTGCCCTCTTTGTTCCCTGCCCGCCGCATTCCTCCTCCTCCCCCCTTCCTATCTCCCCGCCCCTTTTCGTTAAAACACCTGCTAAGTGCGGGGCGCGGAAAGGGCCGCAGAAGCCATCGGTACAGCCCTTGACCTCCACGGGAGGAAGCCGGCTGAACCCACATGCGTAGTGTTGGGGGTCAGGGAGGGGAGAGAGAAGAGCCCCTTTAAGGCAAGATGTACCTGGAGCCTCAGTTTCCTTATCAGTAAAGCAGGAATAATAATGCCTGAGAGTGCTTGAAGAAAGTAAACTTTAAGGCACCGTGCTAAAATAAATGTCGGGTGTTATCCCTCATTTGTAAAATGAGCCGGTGGAACCAGATCATCTCCGACTTCCCCACCTCCCCAATACTGTAGCATTTCCTGTAGACACTGGTCTTTGGCATTAAAAAAAGGTTTTTATTGATGAGGCCTGCCAGCTTGGTACGGTGGATATTACTGGCTCTGCAGTCATCCTATATTTGATTCTTAGGTTACCTGGGGCAAGTTATTTACCTATTCTTGCCCTTAGTTCCCTCCTCATTAAAAAGAGGGTGTTAAACTAGATGGTTTCTAGCGTTGCTTTCCAGTTCCAGATTTATGATTCTATGCTTTATGTGGTCTTCTAAACTTAATGATTGAACCAGTAATAACAGCTGAGGACTATAAAACAGGTTTGCATTCAAAGCATGTTTTCTCGTTTGAGTGCAACAACAGACTTGTTAATAAACAAGTTTTTATGAAGCCTAGCTAAGTTCCAGGCACGAGGGAAGCGAAAACAAAAGTGAAATGGTCGCTAAGCTCAAGGAGCTTATGTTCTTTGTGGGGGAGACATGTACATGTATTTATGTACAAAATGTATAAGTAGATAAAAGATAATTTTGAGAGGAAGGAGTTACATTAGCACTTGGAGGGGGTCATGAAGGGCATTGGTGTTACAGTTCTTATTTTTCAGATGAGGAAACTGAGGCTCAGAGTATAATGACCATGATCACTTAGATTTTAGAGTAAGGATTCCAACCTGCATCTTGGAGCTCCTTATGATGGTGGACAGCTAGACAGGATGTTGGTCAGAGAGCAAGGAAATCTGCTAAGCAGTTTGGTGATTTTTAGATAATGTTCTTTAACTTTTAGGCCTCAGCTTTCCCATCTGTAAAATGAGATTGGATTAAATGATTTCTAAAGTCCATTCTAGCTCTGAAAGTCTTTGCTCCTTGATCCTCTAGTGAGACCCACCTTTCCATTCAGTTAATCCACAAAACATTGGTAGGCATGTACTATGTTCAAGCTACTGTGCTGGGGCTACAAACACAAAACAAAAACAGTACCTGCTCTCAGAGAATTCTGTTGTGGAAAGGAGTGAGAAATAGTGTGTAGCACAAACAAGGTAGTTTGGAGAGAGAGCACTGACAGCTGGGAAAATCCAAAAAAAAAAAGCCTTCATATGGCTAATCCATCTCCCGTCTCTATGCCCTTGCACAGAGGCTGAATCCTTTATGCTTGAAATGCACTCCTCTCTTGCCTCAGCCTCTTAAAATCGCTTACCAAGTGTGAACTCAACTGCTGCTTGAGGCCTATCCTGATCTCTCTCCACATTGCTAGTACTCTTTCTAAATTATTCTAGATTATTTATATATATATATTTTATATAAGATATTCTAAATTATTTTGAATGTATTTTGTGTTTTCTATATGCAGCATGGTGCAGTGGAAAGAGCACTGGGTTTGGAATCAAAAGACCTGGGTTAAATTCCTTCAAATCAGCTTCTCTGGGTACCTTTTTCCTCGTCTGTAAAATGAGGGAGTTGGACTAAATAGTTTGGAAGATTCCTTTCTGCTGTAAATCTCAATAAGAATATAAGCTCACTGAGGGCAGGGACTGTTTCATTTTTGTATGTGTTTCTCTCAGCAACTAGCAGAGTATCATACTTATAATAAGTAAAATGAAGGAAGAAAAGAACGTTAACCTGAGCTGAATCTTTTAAAGGAAGTTAAGGATTCTAAGAGGTGATATTGAGGAGCAAGTACATTCTGGAAATAGAAAAACTATCTAATCAAAGACTGAAGAAAGAATGCTGAATTCAGGAACACCTTATCTGGACTACTCAATTTGTATCTTTTATTGACAGTCAGATTCTGTTCACTGAATTTAATTACTGGTTAAACTGACTTGCTTCAATATATAATCTCTGATTTGTGGGAGGGAAAACACTTTTTGTTGTTGTTTTTGTTGTTTTTGCCTTTTGGTGAGGCACTCGGTTTTAAGTAACTTGCCCATGGTCACACAACTAGTGTTAAGTGTCCGAGGTTAAATTTGAACTCAGGTCCTCCTGACTCCAAGGCCGGAGCTCTATCCACTACACCACCTAGCTGCCTGCGCCCCTTTTCCCCCAAGGAATACATTTTTGTGGGTCATACAAATTTAGACCTGGAAGGAATCTTGAAGATAATTTAGTCCAATCTCTCTCATTTTTTAATGAGAAAATTAAGACTCAGTGAGATAATTATGTACTAGAGCCAGTATGCAAACCCAAATCTTTTGATAACAAATCTAATGCAGTTTCCGCTATACCATGCTTATCTGTGAAGGACCTAAGGCATGTTGTAAGCAACCATTCTGTAAATTCTTCAAGAGGCTATGATGTAGTAGAAAAATCATTGGTCTTAGAATCAGGAAATCTGCATGTGTGAGTTCAGCTCCTTTACATTATTAGTGGTGGGGAAAATCACTTAATCTTTGTGGTTTCCAATTTCCCTGTCAACAAAAAGAATAAAATAATTCTTACCCAGTAGTTTGACAGAGTTCTTGAGATCCAATGAGATATGTATGAAAGTGCTTTACAAACTGTAAAGTGCTGTGTGCAAATGTAAAGCAGTATTATTTATTTCTCTATGATGTTCAGAACATCAATATTATTTGCCCTAAATAATGATAGCCAAGAGAGGACTTCACTTGTTTCTGATGGTGCTGTGCAACAAAATAAGAAACACTTAACATCAAATTCACTTTAAAAATTTGGGTGTTGTGAGGATAGGGAGGAGATAGACTTTCATATCTCATCAAATTATTTCTGTCAATCTAGTCAAACTGGCTTTTCTACTACAATAATACTTATCTCCATGTATTTGACTCTGGCTCCTTGCTTTTCCCCAGGTGGACATTAGGGGATCTCAAACTCCATTGAATCCAATGCAGCAGCACCACTTTGAGTTTTAGTGAAATAAGACTTTGCAAGATGTCTGTGGGCAATCCAGTGCTCAACTGGTGAGTTAAATCTGTTGTCATGTCCTCTAAAGAAGGTAGGGACAGGGATGAAGGAGTTCAGTCTAGAAGAATTTGGTACAATTTGTAGAGAAATCAAGTCATTTCGAGACCTCAGCTAGGTACTGAGTGCCCTAGAAATTCCCCCAGTCTGAACTCTTAGACACCGTCTTGGGCAGTTATACTTTTGCTCAAGAAATGACTGCACCTCACTATTTGGAAATTTTTCTTGGGCTTCATTCTGTTTGATTTGGCAGCTGATTATCAGGAGGGGAAGTTTGTTGGTTCTTCTTGTGTACTAGAGCCTCTCTATTTAACCTTCATCTTATGCTGTTTAGAAAAGAAAAGCAGGATAAAAAAACAAAAGACAACATAGGCTTCTGTACCGTTTATTTTGGCTTGTTACTCCAAACCAATATATTCCTCATTAAGAGATGAATAATAACATTTTGTTTTAACAACTATGTAAAATTCTTATAGTTCAGAGACCTCAGTTTTATAGAGCAGAGTCTGCAAAAAACAGATTTTGAAGTAAAGGTAAATTTCTTTGACATTTTAACAGTATTGTTGCTTAATACTAGAGACATAGAGTGGTTTGGTGGAAAGAGCTCTGAATTAGAAATCAGAAGCCCTGGAGTTTTTTTTTTTCCTTTCTTTTTTTGGTGAGGCAATTGGAGTTAAGTGACTTGCCCAGGGTCATGCAGCTAGTGGGTGTTATGTGTCTGAGGCTGAATTTGAACTCAGGTCCTCCTGACTCCAGGGCTGGTGCTCTATCCACTGCACCACCTAGATGCCCCCAGCCCTGGGTTTTTATCCTAAATTCTCTATTCCATAATCCACTTAAGTCTGAGCAAAACACTTGACCTCCCTGGTCTTTAGTTTGCTTATCTTTAAAATACCTGTTGTGCATACCAGGACTGTTTTGAGGCCCAAGTAAGGTAGTGTATATGAAAGCACTTTGGAAGCTGTAAAGTGCTAAAAATGCGGGCTAAGAATAAGAAACCATAATTTCACCATTGTTACACTTAACTAGTTCTTTGGATAAATGTTTTAGAAAAACTTTGAAAAAAATTTTAATATTCTGTAATACTTGATACCTGATATGGTATGGTATGGGTATACTTTCATTATTATAGTTAGATTTTCATTTTGAGAACTGGTAAAAATGAAATCTACCATTTTGATAAATGCTTCATTGTTATGACATTATGGTGTTTTATTATGTACATGCTTGAATTTGTTGCAGTTGCTGCAAATAAATGCTTTCTTAGAGCATGTTATTATATCATATACAAAAACGAGCAATTTCATTAGTATGTGTACTCTTACCACCAGTATAAATAATGCCTTCTTGCTTCTTAATAGATGGATTTTTTTTAATTGCTATGATCAAAAAATTTCATCACTTATTGTACCAACCTTCTGATAATAAGCCTTTCTTAACATAGCTAGGCTGGTCTCAAAGCTTCGGACGCTTATTAGAACCTAACGGATAATACTGACTTGATTGTTAACATCATTCTCATTTGCCAAGATGGGAAAAATAAAATCCTAGGATTAATAGAAGTACTTTGGATAGATATCCTTTAGCAACTTTGTCCTGTTAAAAGTGGTATATCTCCCCCAAACACACACACACACACACACTCACAACACACTGAAAACTTGAGAAAGCCATCCTAAAACAACAAACCTTCAGTATTCTTTGTTTTTATTTTATTGCATAGCATATATACATCTTAGCAGAAAAAAAAAAAGATTTGGAAGCATAAATAATACCCACTCTAAATCCTGTGCAGTTAACACTTTTTTCCCCTGTAAGGAATAAATATATTAAGTAAGCTTTACTTGAGACATTTTAATTCTGATAAGGACTTTGAATTATCGAATGCAAGTAAATTGCTTTGCTTCATAGGGATGTTTCACCAAAAAACGGTCTGGATGTATTTTTCTCGCAAGAAAAATATGAAGAGTATTCTTTGACTCCTACTCTAAAGGAACTGCTTGTTTTGTCCAAAAGGTACAACTTTGATTTATTCTTTTCTTTTACATTGTAATATTTCATTTCATTCATAATATTTATTAAATTTTCATATTTAATTGAAAATTTATGAAGTTATTGATAGATTTTTAAAATACTTAATCTCACCATCTTTTTTCTTAAGTAGTTGTGGTATTGATTATTTACTGGTTTAGATAAATCTTATGAAAAAAAAACCTGAAGGTAGAAAATATCTATTATTTAAATTGGCAGTAAAATTACTTTTTAATTTTAAAGTTCCTACTGATTATTTTATATTTATGTTTTTACTTCATGCAAAAGTAAAGACAGTGTATTTATTCATCAAGAAAGGGACAGGTAATGGTTATGCAAGGCCAAAAACAAACTAGTTCTTCCCCTCAAGGAGCTATTGGGAAAAATAGTATGTTACATAGATGTTAAATGCAAAGTAGGTACAAACTGATTTCCAGGGGGAGCATGAGCGTTTGGGGGCTTAGGTGAGGTTTCCTTTGGATGTAGCACTTCAGCTGAGCTTTGAAGGAAGTCAGGGCTTCCCTGAGGTGGAAGTGAAGGAGTGTATTTCAGGCTTGAGGGAGAAGTTGTGCAGAGGAGGAACGTAATGTCTAGGGAATGACAAGTAGGCCACTTTGTCTGGAATATTGTGAAGGTAAACAGTCGTTCAATAGGCATAAAGTGTGTACTAGGTCCGAGGGATACAAAAGCCTAGAACTGTCCCTGACCTCAAGGTGCTTGTATATAAACTAGCTTGTAAAGGTAGGCTGGAGCCAGATGAATTTGTGTCTTATCTTACTATCACTGAGCACTAGCAGAGGAGTGACATGATCAAAATATCAGGAATGTTAAGAATTATCAATTTGGCAGCTATGTGGAGAAAGATTGGAGAGGAGTGAGAACAGAGGAAGACAAGTAGGGAACTGCGGTAGTCCAGGCCAGGCTTTAAAAAAAAAAAAGCTACATTCCATGTATCTACTTTCTCATTTCCCACTCCTCAAGCCCTTGTAGTCTGGTTTCTTTCTTTATTGCTCTTGGAAACGCTTTCTCCAAGGTTACTAATGATTACTTTGTTGCTAAATTCATTGGCCTTTCTCCATCCTCATTGGTCTAGAGTCTAAAGTCCTTTTATTAAGGGGATTTGTTTTGTGAAGTTTGGATTCAGTCAAAGGGCTGCACTTGAGGGCCTAGAGGGCCACATGTGGCCTTGAGGCCACAGGTTCCCCACCCCTGGTCTAGACCCTTCCACCATAATTGCCCCTGCCAGTCACCTTTTTTTTTTTTTTGGATGTTCTTGGGTTTTTCTTGACACATTCCATCTTTATTGTTGTGATCTTAGCACATTAGGATTTGATGAATACACTTTTGTTTCCATGTTTTCTTGTGCCCTTTTTGATTTTATCAACTTTGGTTTTATCCCCTGATAGTTTTTATCTTTCTAGGCAAGGGTCTTATGAATATTCTTCATTCTGTGTTCACTTCCTTGATCATTTTAATTGATCTTCTTCAGCGTAGTAATTGCTCTCTTGAGCCATACAAAACTATGTGTAACATTCTAGGTATGAATGCACCATAGTGCTGTATATAGGACAATAATGTTTTATTTTTTTGTTTCAACTGCAGCTTTTTCACAGTGGCATGAGATAAATGTGCTTAGTCTCCATATTTTCTGGTTGTTGTATATTCTTCTATTTATCATTTTGTACCTGAACTGAAATGTGCTTTTTCTTTAAAATCAAAATTTGATAAACCAAATGGAAGAAAGCCAGTAATTGATATGATTTTTCTCATAGTTTCAAAAAATAAAGGAAGGAAAATTATGTGACAGAAATATTTTCCCAGTGCAAGCAGGGGTTGAATCATTGTACAGTGTGTGGAAAATGTTACATTTGTGATTATTTACAGTTTAGGACATAGCCAGAAATTTTAATTTGGTTTCTAATCTTATCTTCCAAATGCAGAATTTTCAATTTAGTTTGTTTTAAAACTGGTCTGTTGAAATTTTGCATTGTTGACTTAATACAAAAACAAAAAATACCAATTTCCACTTTCTTCATTATTTTATTACTTCAATTCTTGAACTGATTTTTTTAAAGTAATTATTACCTCTAATTATGTTGCCTTCAGGAATATGAGTTTAAAGTCCAAAACCTTCATTAAAAATTTCAGGAAAAAAAACTTGTTTATTTAAAGATAATGGTTTTCTTTTAATTTACATGTGAATATTTTTGAGAATTTCAAGAATTAAAAATTCTGACCACAATGTTATTTATAACTTTTGGTTTTAAGTGAAAAATTTAAGTGACTGGAGGTTTAACATCAGATAGACAAAGGGAAAAATACTCAAAATTAAGAATGAGAATTTATAGAGGTAGGGTAGAAGGATTATCCTATAAATTTATTTTTAAATAAATTCCCCAAACTTTTAAAGTTTACATATTGGAAACAAAGCAGTTTTGCGTAAATAAATACATTCACTCTTCTTTTTCACAGGACATCTGAATAGAAGAGAAGATGAGTAGGTAGTTGACAAAATGAAGGGAAAAAACATCGAACCATCAACTGAAATAAAATATAATGCTGTAAATGTGGGTAGAGAAGCCCTGTCAGATGCTTTTGGTTTGTGTCCTGATGAAGATTTTGACAGCCACTCCACACTGAAATGATCTTGATGTGCTGCCACTTCATTCTTTGCTGAATGTAGCCAATTTAAGCAGCTAGAATTTCTTGACATTCCTGCATTGGCATATCTGAGTCAGCATCTTGCTGCTGCAGTAGCTTAATTAAGTTTGCCAGTTTGTGCCGCAAGGACAGACATGTTCTCGTATTTGGAGAGACAGCTGTGAAGCAGTATTGTTAAGAGTTGTGGACACGAAACTGTTAGGTTTGAATAGCTCTCAAGACTTTTTCTTGTGAGAAATCAATTTGCTGTAATACATTTCTCCCAAGATCAGCAGTTAATGTTTATTTTGTTAACCCGAAATATGCTTATTTTTTAACAGTTATTGGAGAAAGCTTAGTAGTTTAACTATGTCTTCTTTAACCTGCATTATTTTTAGAGCCTACCTTTAGTGTCTATTCCTAGAATCCCTTCCCTATTCACCACTTATTTATTAACAATTGGAATTGCCTACTAGCTATCTGAACTTTCAAAACCAGCAGATCTTGAATTTTTGCTTTATGTTCTGTCTGAATATTTTTTGTAGTCTCGGCTTGTTTGGGCATTTAATCATGTAGTAGTAAAACTTTTTATGCATTGTATTCAGTTCAGACATTGGGGAACTTAGTAAACATGGTTATTATTAAAAGAGGTTCACGCCTTTTCCAGGCATATATCTGGATAACTCTTCCTCATAATTTCTGATCCTAAAGTGCCAAGGGTTCTAGTACCCAAGTACCAAGAAATCTAGGTTGTTTTTTTTTTTTATTTTCATGAGTTGCTTTTAGCATTGTGAAGATCAGGATTTCATTTGTTCAGCTGTACCGATGGGTGACCTGCATAGATTTTTTCCCCCTCCCATTTCTACTCTTTATTTTGGGGGGTTTATCTTTCTGTGTCCAAACCAACAGCTAAAGGATTGCACAGTGATAGATCATTTATCAGGAAGCATCAACTTAGAGGTTAGCGCAGGTGACTCGGTAGAAGTTTCAGTTGCTATGCCTCAGTGCTGATCAAGTAGGATGATGGTTTTTTTTGATAGCCTATGATTTAATATTCCTTATTAAGAAATTTTTATATGCAGACTTAAGAATGGAACCAAGTTATAAGCAATAAGAAAAATCTTGTATTGACATATTTCATTACTTGAGAAGAAACATAGAGTAAGTGGTTATGTATAAATACATATAGTTAGAATCTCTAGACTAAGTTACTTCTATTCCTTGTCGATGCTTTTTTACTGTTTAAAAAAAAAGTCCCCACTAACATAACTATAATTGTGATTTTTTTTTTTCCTATAAGCAAGGGAATACAAAAACTACTGCTTTGCTTGTGAGACAAGGGCGCTTGGGCACATGACTGCTTTAGGTACTTGTTCAGAAACTCCAAAACTACCAATTTATTTTGAGGAATGGGATGCGACAAGAAGAGCAAAGTCAGAGGTTCTCTTCAATGTTTGAGGAGATGGGATCTTGAAATTCAGAATCTTCTGGTAACTTTGTCAGTTGAAATTGCACAAACATTGCAAAATCTGCTTTTAGTTGCCACTGATAATCATTCTAATTTGTTTTTCTTACACAGGAATTTGAGCTTAATTATAGATAATTTATAATAAAACAAAAACTATATTAAAGCTTTGTAATTAAATTTGCAAATAAATATAACACCTGGATGGATAAGTGAAGAGATTCCCTTATTCATAAAGAAATAGTAAATGAAGTGTAAGTAAAACCAGTCTTTCTTTTTTTGTGTATCGGCTGAAAGGTAAGCTTGTGATGCAATAATGTCCTGCAGAATATTTAATCTGTAATAAGTGCCAGAGCTGCAAGATGCAGGTGGCAGAGCTTTGATGGTACTCCAGAATTTACTCTGTTAATCATGATGTATTCTGCCTGGTGATTCAGAATCAAGAAACTCCACTACTGTCAGCCCTAATTTTCAAATACCAATCTTCATGGTAAAAAACAAGTACTTCTAAATTGTAATTAATTTTTTCTCCTCATTTCAGACCTATAGGAGAAAATTTGGATGCATCAGCAAAGCCTGTGGAAAATGAGCCAGCAGTTAATTCAGCAGCTCAAGCAAATGGCGATGTTAAAACCACAATAGAAATTGTTCCTTTCCCAGAGCCAAGAATTCCTTATCCTTATTTCTCTCGTTTCTCAGAAAGAGAACAGAAGTGTTATGTGGATTTACAAAACAAATACTCAAAAAAGCCTGTAAATTTCAAGACTTCAGGGTTAAATAAGAAGGAATATTTCCAGTACTTGGTATGTATTTTCTCCTTCTGTTTCCTTAAAAATTATTGGCAAAGTTTATTTTGTAATTATCCACTTAAGAATTTTAAAACATTTGTTTTAAGGTATTTATCATGGCTAAAAATTAAAGATTTGAATTGTGGAGTGGACAGAGCTTTAATATTTCAAACATGAAAATGTATTTCATTCCTTGTGCTTTATTTTCATAATAAATGGGAATAGTTTGTTTTAACCTACTTCATGGTTCTTTTGAGGTTTAATTGAATATAATAGTACATAAAATATTTGAGCTAACAGATTCATATAGTAACTGTTTATTGGGCACATATATGAAATTTAGAAAACCTTTGGTTGACTCCTGCCTCAGACTTGAGGTATGTGACCTTGGATAAGTCACTTAACTTCTTGACCATACTTTAACCACACTTTCCTCATTCATAAAAAGGGGGTAAGAATAACATCAGTCTCTGAGAATTGTTTTGAGAATTAAATAAACTAACACATGTAAAGAGTTGTGGTCATCTTGAAGTACTATGGGAAGATTACTATTATGTGCATTTTCATCAGAAATAATAGACTTAGTGTAGTAGTTTTAGAGGTATCCTTCAGTAAGGAAGAACTCATTTTGAATCCTTTCTCAGATGCTGTTTTGCTCTGTGACTGAGTCTAATCACTTTTCTCTGGGCCTCAATTTCCTTGTCTGTAAAATAAGATAGTTGGTCTTAGATCTCTAAGACTTACTCTAAATCTATGATTTCATGATCCATCCATCCATCTTTTGACTTGGGAGTGACTCTGGTTTTTTGTTTGTTTATTTGTTTGTTTTTTGGTGAGGCAATTGGGGTTAAGTGACTTGCCCAGGGTCACACAGCTAGTACATGTCAAGTGTTTGGTCTGAGGCTGGATTTGAACTCAGGTCCTCCTGATTTCAGGGCTGGTGCCACCTAGCTGCCCCTGTGACTCTGGGTTTTTAAGGGCTGTATCAGAGGGCCATATGTTCTGATCAGTCCCAACAAGCTGGAAAGACTTCAGACATGATTGCAGTGGACTGTCCATTTCATCTGCTGTCCAGCATAACAAAATTAAGAGAAAGCTTATCATCTTCAGCAAATAACAGATGGTTTTCTTGGCCAAAGAACCCATAAAGCCATCTGTTAAGGCACACTGATAAAGACATGGAACTTTGGATGTACTGAAGCATGTTGTGTGTGCACGGTGCTTAACTAGGTGCCTACGGAATACAGAGGCAAGGTGTGGTGTCTGTTTTCATGGAACTTCCTCCAGTCCAAGAGTTTGAGAATTCTTTGAGGGCTCAGATTTCTTTGCCTTGTGTTTTTCTTTAATTCCTGCTTTATTCAGGTAGTCAGTAAGTTATAATTGCTAAGGAAATGGCTAAGATACTATATAATGAGCTTCTCTTTACTTTGCATTTCTGCATTTTCTTTAGTAGTTGAAATAGGATTTGATTCTTTATTTCTAATCCAGAGTTGAACTTACTCTCATTTAAAGGCTATATCAGAGGACCATATGTTCTGATCAGTCCCAGCAAGCTGGAAAGATTTCAGACATGATCTCCCAGATCTAGTAATTTGAGAATTAGAGGGCTTTTTCTGGGTCCCCCAGTTTCTGATTATATGTTTCACAATACAGACTCAATAAAAGGACAGTTTTCACTCTTTCAAAGATTATATATAGTCTGTTGTGTTTGGGAGGCAGCTAGGAGGTGCATTGGATAAAGTACCAGGCCTGGAGTCAAGAAGATTTGAGTTCAAATCCTACCTCAGACACTTACTAGCTGTGTGATCCTGGCCAAGTCACTTAACCCCTATTTGCCTCTGTTCCTCATCTGCAATGGGGTCGCACTGGAGAAGGAAATGGCAAACCATTCCAGTGTCTTTGCCAAGAAAACCCCGTGGACAAAGTCTATGAGGTCACATAGAGTTAGACATGACTGAACAACAAATCATATCTTAGTGATAAATAATTTTAAATGATTATGGTGAAGAGATAAAAGATTTCAGAAACCTGATTGAAAAGTCAGTTTAAATAAGCTGGTACTTATAAGTGGAGGAAGCCAAACTGACTAAATGAAGAGTCTGAATTATAGGACATTTTATAAGCCATGCCACAGGTACACAGCTTAGACTGAAAATATGCTAACTGAATTTTGCCTAGTAGTGGCACATAGATAAGAATAACTTATTTTAGTACATCAGCCCAAGTATTATTGACCTTACAGTGAAATTAATGTAAATGGATGTTTCTTTAGTATTTGAGCAGAGTTATCACAGGTAAAAATTATTATATTATATAAATATTAAATTATTTTTGTAGCAGACTTTTTAAAAGGTATTGAAGATAGCTCCTTTATTACCAGGTAACATATTCTGAATTAGTCCAAAGGAATGAGATTCTTATTACATTTAAATTTTGAATTTTAGTCTTCTTTAAGAACTGTTGATGTTGACCTTTTTGAGGAAATTTACTCAAATTATTTTTAAACATTTTGTTTATAAAGTAAATTTATGGATATCTGTTTATTTTATGTATCCACTTAGCTCTTATGTAGCCCTTAGATTGCCATAATACACTAACTTTAAACAGAATGGTTTGTTTAAAAAATTAGGTTAAAAGTTTGAACTCATTCATTGTTATCAATACATGTATAAAAATTTATTTAATGAACATAATGCAGTAATGAAATTGAAAAAATGCTAAAATGACTCATTGGACATTTTTAAAGTTGGTAAAACACTTCATTAATTCTCCATGTGTTGCTAAGTGTCATGGTAGCTTTGCAATAACACTTCAGACTGAATAATTATTGTCAGAGCTTTCTCTCAAATGATTATTATTACCTACCTTAGCGCCCTTTTTTTTTTTCCTTTTCCCTTTAGGATATGAAAAAATGTGTAAATGATGAAGTTGCTGAATTTTTAAAGTTTCTTCAGAATGCTGCAAAGAGTTGCAGTCAGGATTATGATATACTTTCAGATGAAGCACTTCTATTCACAAAGGTAAGAATGGTAATGTTTGTAGATAATATCATTTATGGAAAATGAACAATAGTATGCAATAATATTTCAAAATGTATTTCTCCTTAGTATGCAGTAAATTCTAAAATGTGTTTGCATATAGCAAGCAGCATGTTAGAGTAGAACAAGAACTCACTCTAGAATCAAAGGTCCTGGGTTCTAATTGTCTCTTACTACTTGTGTGACCTTGGACAAGTAACTTCCCTGGGCCTCACAGGTTTTCTCAGGTAAAATGAAGGGGTTGGATTAAATGACCTTTGAGATAAGGTCCCTTACAGCTTTGATTCATGATTAATCTACTTTAGTTCATTTGAAAATATCTTTTCAATTTGGATTGACATTTCACTTCTTTTAATTTTTCATGTATTGTAAAAGTAAAAATGTTTTAAGCAGTGCTAGTCATAGAATCACAGAATTTCAGAGTTGGAAGGGCCATCTAGTCCAATATATGCCCTGAAAAGAGTTTTGTCTACAGGTTCTCCTCTATGGTAGAGGAACTTCAATGAGGGAGATTCTACTGTCTCCTGACACAGCTCATCCTACTTTGAGATAGTACTGATTGTTAAGAAGATTTTCTTTGCGTCAAGTCTAAATTTTCCTCTTCTGCAAGGTTAGGCAGGGTGCTGAAGTCACTAGTCAAGAAACCATAGTGGGGCAAACTAGACAGTACAGTACATTAACTTCAGCATTGCCGTGTCAACCAACATATGTAAAACTTAACATATCAAGTGATTTTTGGCTGTTCGATCAAAGTAACTGGCTGACTATGAAGATTATTGCCCTAGCAGGTTAAGTGTTAGTAGGTCAGTCATCCAGCAAATGTTAAGTGCTACTTACAATTTTATGGATTTTTATACTTTAACACACAGATAGGTTATCAGGTCTGAAGTGTACCTTTCATTATTTAAAATTGATCAACTGAAGCATTTTTGAATTATCTAAAAAAAAAGTGACTAAATGCTCCACTGTGAGGTATTTTAGTCAAAGAGGTTAAAAGATGGAAAGAAAGGGACCAGAATATTTGCAGCAGCACTTTTTGTGTAGCAAAGAATTAGAAACATAATGCTTACTCATTGGGGAATGGCTAAACAAATAGAGAATACTTTAGTGTATTGTATTACTGTTGCATAAGAAATAAGACTATGAAGAGTTCAGAGAAACATGGACGCACTTATATAAACTGATACAAAATGAAGTAAGCAGTACCCGGGAAAATAATAAACCTGTCTCTTGTAAAATAAATGGGAAAAGCAAAAACAGAAAAAAGAAATAATAGTTAAAATAACCAAATTTAGTTTCTTTGTAATCCTTTGTATATTTTATTCTATACCAAAAAAGGCTGAGAAAATATACCTCCCTCACTCCTTTGAGAGGCAAGTGACAATGGAAATAGAACATTGTATATACTGGCTGACTGGAGTGATGTATGTTGATTAGATGTTTCTCAACTGCTTTTTTCTTTTCTTTTTTATTTTGTCATAAGGGAATGATTTTCTAGAGAGAGAATATATTTGGAAATATAGCTGATATAAAAACAAGATAGGAAAAGCATTTTTTAAAAAAAAATAAAGCTTACGAAAGGATTATGACAATTTTTTTGCATGTGAACTGAAAGGTAGGAAGTTTGTGATTCTTGTTTTATGAGATCTAAACATAGCTTTGATAATGCAATATCTGGTTCATTTTTTTAATATGTGGAATAAGCTAGCAATAATTGTTGTTTTGTTAGCAACATTGAGTAAGAAAGGTATTTTTAATAAAATTATTACCAAAGTATGATTTTTAGAGACTTCTATTGAAGAAGTTAGCTTTCTTTTGTTTTGGTTTTAGACCCATTGTTTTTGAAACAAGACATTTGTTTTTAATAATTTTAGATTTCCTAAAAGACTTATTTTTCATTACCAAGGTCTTTCTAATATGGAAGGACTTTAGTTAGTGTGACAATTAAGATAGTTCAAGAGACATAGTTTCTAGGTAATGTAATCATTTTGTTAATAAGTCCAGCACATTTATTAATAAAAGGATGGTCATTTGGCTGTCTTTCTTAGACCAAAAGACCATTGTGGTGGTGGGCTTACAGTTTATATACCCTTTGAAAAGTAGGTGTTCTCCAGGGTGATTAGTTAATAATTAATGAGAGTATAAATATTACAGTGAGGGGCTGAGAGTGACATCATGTGACCTTGGAATGAAAGACTTTCTCTATACCCAGACCACTCTAGCCTTGGGCAGTCTATTCCAAGAATTTATGCCACACCCAAGCCTGAGCAGAACACTATGGCTACTCTATCCGGGTGGAGTCTGAACAAGAAAGTTAATCCATGTGTTGGAGGTAGGATTGGAACTCAGGTCTGGCTTTCTATCCATTGAGCCATGTTAACTTTGAAAAGGGAAGGTATAAAAAGCCTCATGAATTAATACTGAAAAATTTTAGTACTTAGAATTCCCATCCACCTTCCCTATCTCCATCTAACTTTGCATGTGCACAGTAGAGAGCACAAGCAAGCCTGCTTACTTTATGACTTGAGGTTCAGCTACAGGGCTCCCTCATAGCAGTGACTGCCTGAAGCACACATCCACTATTCTGTGGGAGACAGCAGGCTCTGATTCTGTCCCATCTTTGTGATGAAAGGGAACATTGATGGAGGGTAGAGTGGTGCTCTGAACTACCTACTGGGGCAGGGGGTCTTAACCTGGATCCTTGAACTTTTTTTTTAATTGATAAATGAAATATGTGATATATATTATTAATTAAATATATTTGATAAATGTAATTGGTTACTTTTGCAATCTTTTTCATGCATTTAAAAACATCATTCTGAGGAGTCCATAAGCTTCACGAGCCTGTCAAAGCAGGGTCTATGATACAATTCCCTTTCCTTACATCTAAGGGTTTTTTGCTTTTTGTTTTTTGTAATTTACATAGGTCATGAGGGAAAAGGCATTGGAATCCTGACTGGGTCCAGTTCTCTCCCCCAAGAGGTTACTTAGGGTATTGACTGAGGTCGAGTAGATCCCGTCTCCAAACTTGAGAAGGCTGGGGCTTCACAACAGTACAGTGTCATTTATCTATGCAGCAGTAAAAGGGGCAGGGACGAGATAGTGAGGAGGAATTCCAAAAGCAAATGAAAGGAAAAACTGAAAGACCAAAAAAAGATAAGGAAAGAAAGTCTGAATAAAAAAACCTACCCAAAAAAGGAAAACAATATAGAGATGAACTGCAAAGTGAAGCCAGAACACATTGAATAAGCAAAATATAAAGGAAAATGAATCAATATTACTTGATGAAAAAGAGAACCCAGTAGACTCTTCAGAAATCATGGAACAGAGAGCGAGGGTTGACTGCCAGAACCTGATCATGAACACAGAGGCTGCCCTGGCACCCATCTTCCAGACAGGAGAGGACTGCTGGCCTGCTTGGCAAAAGGCGGCTACCGGCTACAGTGGGCTCCACACGCACCCGCAGATCCTGGGCAAGACGGTGATGGAGTGCTGGGAAGTCCCCTACATGCACTCGCTGGCCACTGTGGCCTCCTTCCGAGGGGGAAGGGTCCTGGAAGTTGGCTTTGGGATGGCCATTGCGGACAGCAAGGTGCAGGAAGCCAACATCCAGGAGCATTGGATTGTTGAATGCAATGACAGCGTCTTCCAGTGGCTGTAGGAGTGGGCCTAGCATCAGCCCCACAAGGTCGTCCCCTTGAAAGGCTTGTGGGAAGAGGTGGTACCCAACCTGCCTGATGGACATTTCAACGAAATTCTGTATGACATCTGTCCCCTCTCTGAGGAGACCTGGCATACCCACCAGTTCAACTTCATCAAGGCTCACACTTTCCGCCTGCTAAAGCCTGGGGGTATCCTCACTTATGCAACCTGATGTCCTGGGGAGAACTACTGAAGACCAAGCATATGGATATCAAAAAGATATTTGAGGAGACCCAGATTGCATCCCTGGTGGAGGCAGGTTTTAAGAAGGAGAATATCAATACTGTTGTGATGGACCTGGTGCCCCCCAAGGAATGCCTGTACTACTCCTTCCCCAAGATGATCACTCTGACAGTCATCAAACACTGAGGATGCCCAGCTTCCTCTTCGTCCAGGCTGACCCTGGAATGGGGGCGCCAGGGACTCTCTAGCCTGCCAGGGCTAGAGCCTAGGATTGCTCAGTAGATCTCAGACAACTTCTTTATAGGACTTGACAGGGGAACTTGACATAGTCAGAGAGGCAGAGAGCAAGCAGGGGATTGAGGGGCTGTCTAGGTCTGTCTCCCGACTCAGGGTCTCAAGGGTGGCAAAGAGGCTTCTGTTTCAGTACAGCAAACACGTTAAGTTTTGGGCAGAGCCCAGTTCTGGAAGTCAAGGCTCAGGGTTTTTCTGCCTTTTGATTTGTCTACCACCTCAGTCCTTGTAAGCTATTCGGGGCCTTTATTTGTTTCATCTATAGAATGAGTATATGTACCTGCTTGACAGGAACTGGCTACCCTCAAAGGTAATAATCAGGCTACCTAAATGGAAATTTCTTATTCAAAAGCCTCTGCAAGGAATTGCGTTAAGGAAATGCCCCTCTTATTTAGTAAGTGCCCATAATGCACTCCTTGGTGCTAGAGAGGTACAGAGAAGTCTCGAGCTTGGCCCCCTGCCTTTGAGGGGCTTGTACCCCATTTGAGACAGGGGGTTGATAATCCAAAAGTGAGTCCCGGGGCCAAATGCTCATGTCATGGGCTTCCCCCTCAGTCTAGGGCTTCAAAGAGTCAATGTCTACTTGTTGGGGATGGGATTCTTGCTCAGGTTATAGCTGAACTAGATTGCAGTCTCTGAGGTCCCCATAGCACCCTTTGAGGGCAGGGAAAATATTTTTATCTTTCTTTGTATCCTCAGGGCTTAGCACAATACCTGACACTTAGTACTTAATATGTTTGTGGACTGATTAACAACTTTCCTTTGAGATAGAGGTAGAGCAAAGAGTAGCCCCATTTTATAGATGA